GCGGGCTTGAATGATCTATAGGAGGCCTATTGCTTAGTCAAAGCTAAAGCTGGCCAGAGCTAGACTTTTGCTCCCAGAACCCTCCAAACCTCCTCTGTCAGTGCACAGATTAGCAGATTAGAAGTGCTCTTGGGACTTCTGGACCAAGGTATCATTGCCCCAGTACACGTGGCAGAATGGTTTCAGTGCTTTTACTCCAATCTGGTTATAGTTCCCAAGCCCAAAGGGGACATCCACTCCATCTTGGATCTCAAAACACTGAATGTCTTCATTCAAGCTCAGAAATTTTACATGGAATCCACAAGGACTGTCATCACGTCTCTTCACCAAGGAGACTTCCTGGCTTCTGTAGACATGAAGGATGCTTACTTGCATCTTTCCATTACCCCGTTTTTTTTTTTATATGTCTTGCTATAAGTCTCCTGCACTTCTGATTTGTGGTCCCGCCATTCAGCCTTCCGTCTGCACCTTGGGTGTTCGACAAGGTGCTGGTTCCAGTACTAGCTCTCTCATGGCATCCCCATTGTGGGATACTTAGACAACCTTGTGTTGAACAGACAGCACAGGTTCTGTTGGACATTGTAAAGTAGTCTGTCCAGACATTACAGCAGTTAGGATGGCACCTGAACCTTCAGAAATCGTTGCTGAAACTAACTCATCATTTACAGTATATGGATCTAGTCTTAGACACACCTCAGCCTATAATATTTCTCCCTCAGAAAATACTTCATATGCTTCAATCCCAGACTTATGCTGTCTAGTCCAGGAGCCATGAAGCTCCTGGGTCTGATGATAGTTTCCTTCACAGCAGTCATATTTGTCCAGTTTCTCTTCAAACTCCTACAACTCAATATTCTTCAGACAATTCTGGCAGACAAATAACTGCATACATGGACAGGACTGATTGGTTTGGCACTGAGGTCAAGGTTGTCCTTGTCCTGGTGGCTTAGGAATCAGGGAAATTCTTTATTGTCTTTTGAAATATCCTCAAGATAGATGCCAATCTGTTAGCCTGGGTAGGGTCCTTGGCACCCTGTCAGCACAGGGGTCATCTGAGGAATCTTGTCTTCTCATCTACATTTTGGAACTTCATGTGATCTAGCTGACTCTGCAGCTCTAGGCCATGCACAGTACTGGTGTACAGCAGCCATCAGGAAGAAACCAGAAGCTTTGCTGTGGCAAGATAGGTAGAGAAGATTCTGTCTTGACCAGAACTTCATGTCCTGCCTTAGCAGTTTACATCCCAGGCATGAACATAAGACAGGACAATTTGTAGACCGACCTCCACAGCAATGTTGCATGGGGGGATATTGGATGTGAACCTCCTGGCCTCCAGGTTCAACAACAGAATGGACAGGTTGGTCTCCAGGTTTAGGAATATTTCAGCAGAGACAGTGGTTGCACTGGTGGCTCCATGGCATCTGTATCCCTAAACTATGCCTTTCCTTCCTTGAAAATTGTTCCTTCTTTGTTTTGCAGGATTGAGATGCTGGTTATTCCAGTGATCCTCATTCCTCCATATTGGCCCAGGTGGATGTGATACTCCAACCTAGTAGGAATTCTGGCAGACACTCTGTGGGCTCCACAGTCGCCAGCTTTAATGGTATGGATGCTGAAGCCCAAGTTCTGAGAGACAGGAGCATCTCTGGATTCGTTTATTCTAAAGTAGTAAGTCTGCTTTTCATAAGGTCTATCATTGGACGTGGAAGGTATACTGTACTCAGTGTGAGTCTTGTGGGTTCAACCCTAGGGGATTCTGTGTGGGACGAATCCTTTCCTTCCTACAGCTGGATCTGGACCAGCATTTGGCTTTCAACAGAATTAGGTTTCTGCTATTTCTCTTGTTTAAGAGACCATTGCCAACTCATTCCTTGCAAAGTGGTGTGTCTTGTAGCCGTCACCTCTAGGTGAGGTGTCTGAACTTGATGGCCTTGTCTTGCGAAGAACCCTTTCTGGTTTTGCAGAGAGACGAGATGGTGTTGAGACCTATGACTTCCTTCTTGCCAAAGGTAGTTTCTGCCTTTCACCTAATCATGCTTTCATACCTCTGTACGAGTTCAGCTTACCAAACAGAAATTTCCCCCGTGTTCCTTGGATGTGGTTTGGGCTGTAGGCGTATATTTTTTAGCATAACTGATTCTCTTTTCATAATTCTGGATGGGCCACATAAGATTGCACCATGTTTTCTCTCCACCATTTTTAGATGGCTCAGACTGACCATCATCAAAATTTGCCATTGTCTTATACCCCTGTTGGCGGTATTATAACCCCAAAGGTTTAGATCTTCTGTGTCCCTCAAGACAAAGATTTTATGTTGAGTAAAAAAATCCTTTTAATGCTTGTGTGTCTCTATGCTCAGTACTTTCTGCATTAGTGACTTTTGATACTAGTCCTGGTACGGTTTATCTACTTGTTTCAAGTTAGTGTCTAAAAGTATTGAAGTCACTGGATTAGCATAGCAAGCAGGAAACTAGCCATTTCAGAAGGAGGTTAAAAATAGCAGCTTGCATTTCTAAACAAAGGTTTCTTTTAAATGAAAAATTAAACAGATAAAGTAATCATTTAGAAATACACCAGGGCAAGAATACAGATTTTGGTGTTAGCTGTGATTTAGGGTCAGGAATGGCCACCGGCTACTTAATTTGAATAGAGCAATAAATCAACACTGCATATTATTAGCATATTTCTAAGCTTGTTGTTAGATATTGTAAATGCCTACATATCCAAGCAAACAGACTGATGGATTAACATATCAAACATATCTAAAGCCAAAACTTGGTTTTGAATAGAGTAGGAAGTGGCTAAAATCCCTGTTAGCCTTTTTCTGTGCTTTTTTTAAGATTTCACAGGAACCTTTTGGGAGGAAATATTCTTTTAAATAGATGTTAAGCCCATGTCGTGCCATGTGTAGCCTTTGAATGTTTGTCTTATGCCATGAATTGTTTGTGAAAACTGACTATACAGTTCAGTATGAAAGCAAACACAAATGGACTGGCCGTTATATTCATCATAAGTGAGGAAACTCGGATCTCTGTGTTTGAGGATAATTGAAGAAGCCAATTAAATGGATTCTACTCTAAATGCTTACTAGCCTACCTCTTGTGATTCTTAATGCTCTGATCAGCAAAGGTTTTTAATAGATCCATGACAGTTATTTGTGAATAATCATATGAATTTTTAAATAAATAATACATTATAGTTTGCCTTAATAAATATAGGGTATGAGATGACAGAATCCTGTAAGTTTGAAGTATTTTCCATCCAAAATGATGTTTGTTGAGTTTTGGAGACTAGAGGAAAATTAGAATCCCTGTCAGTTTTTTTTCTTTCTCATCACATTCATTTAAGGCTTAATTCACACAGATGCTGATCCCTGCACAGCGCGAAGAGCTGTTTGTTTATCTTTTTGGAGTAGCGTGGAGCTTTGTGCAGACAGCCCATGTAAGTGAATGGAGATGCAGTGGCTGTATGAACTCACCCGTACAGCTGAGTTTTACAGGTACAGTGATGCTGTCAGTGTTTGTCCCTGTGTATCTGTCAAACTCAGCTGTCCAGGTGAGTCCATACAGCCATTGCATCTCCATTCACTTACATGCCTATACAAAGCTCCACACTACTCCAAAAAAGATAAATGGCTGTTCATGCTGTACAGCGCTCATCATCTGGGTGAATGAAGCCTAAAAGTAAAAACTATTCCAACAGAGAGGATGAGTGAAAGAAAGTCTAATAGCGATACAGACAGAAATACAGAGATAAAAAGAGCACTGGCCTTCCTCGAACCATTTTTATTTCTGTGTTAATATTGTAGATTTTCATGCACTTCCTGTCTGGTGAAATAATTGTCAATGTATCAGTGAGTGAGGGGAAGTCTCACAGTAGAAAGAAAACACAAGTTTTAACCTGGCATACAAATCAGGCTTTCCATACAAGGGCTATATCTTTTAACAAGAACCAGCCTTGATTGGGCTTAAACAAGAATTTGAATATTCAGTCTTAAATCGGAATATTTGCTTAGTCTCATCAATGAAACACATACATGTGTCTGAATCTGATGATTGTGTAAGGCAGAGCTCACCCTAGTTCTGATATTTGCTGCAATGTCAACTGTCTGATCTTTTACATTGCACACACAAGATGGTGAGACTGGTTTTGGGAAGGACAAATCTCCCTGTACTTTACTAAATACAGTATTTTGTTTTTCATTTGTTGATTTTGCAACTCTCTATCATTTCTTATTGATAACAGGACAATTGTTTCCTTTTCTCAGGTTCAGGAAATGGTTCATGGAGTTACTACAGAGGAGTGTCAGACAGCATTACAGAATCATGGCTGGAGTGTCCAAAAAGCTATCCAATACCTTAAAGTATGATCTCACTTTTTGTTTATCCATATTTGACATCATCCTGGTGCTCTAAGCATGTGTTATGTTTGTATATATAGAGTTGGCCATTAGATGGCAGCCTTCTCTATAGGCATGAGTCCACTCAGAACAACTGAAAAAATCTAGAGTAAATGCTCCACCTTGTGGTAACATTTCAGTACTGTCAGGCCTAACCAATGTTTTGTGCTGTGATGATGAACTTATTCCATAATAGGTATTCTTGGTGAGATTTTGTGGTTTGAAACACTCAAGTGTTCTAAAACAGTCTATTTTATCTACATGAAATGTTATTTTTTCTAAATAAGATTTATTTTTTTTGAGTTGCTGGCCTTCAAATGATTTTAATGATTTGTTTTATCTGTAAATCACACCACATTCTATTATCATGCAGGTTGAGCAGCTGTTTTGCTTGGGACTGAAGACTCGTATGGAGTGTCACAAAGTGCTGGAGACGTTTGATTGGAACCTGGAGACTGCTAGCTCCCACCTTCTAGAATCATACAGTGGCTCTCAGCAAAAGTACGCCTTTTTATCTCCTCTCATATTTATATTTAACTGCCTCCTGCCCGCCATATAGTACAATGACGGGCGCAAGGTGGTTCTCTCGTTCTGGGAGGACGTCATATGACGTCCTCCCACTCTAACCGATCGGCGGTGCGATGTGTCCCTCAGACACAGCGGATCACCGATCAACGGAAAGAGCCGAAGATGTCGGCTCAGTCATGTGATCAGCTGTGTCCAATCACAGCTGATCACATGTAAACAGGGAAATGCCGGTTATCTGCATTTCTCTCCTCACGAGCTGTCACGCATTCGGCATTCCTTGGAGGGGACATGTACACAGATCATCAGGGCACTGATGATCAGTGTGCCCTGATGTTCTGTGTAGCCCCAGCAGTGCCACCTGTCAGTGTCCTTCAGAGCCAGCTGTCAGTGCTCATCCATGCCACCTGCCAGTGCCCATCAGTGCCACATCAATGCCACATTTCAGTGCCTACCAGTGCACATGAATGCCCACATATCAGTGCCCATCTGAGCTGCTTTTCAGTGTCACCCATCAGTGTCAGTCAGTGCCACCTATCAATGCCAGTCAGTGCCACCTATCAGTGCTGCCAGTCTGTGCCGCCTATCAGTGTGCATCAGTGTCGCCTATCAGTGCCCGTCAGTGCTGCCTATCAGTGCTGCCTAACAGTGGCAGTCAGTGCCGCCTATCAGTGCCAGTCAGTGCCGCCTATCAGTGCCAAATATGAGTGCTGCCTTTCAGTGCCCATCAGTGCCACCTTCCAGTGCCTCCTCATCAGTGCTCATCAGTGCAGCCTATCAGTGCCCATCACTACAGCCTCATTAGCGCACATCAGTGAAGAGAAAAATCACTTTATTTACAACATTTTATAACAAACACTAAGAAAAAACGTTTTGTTTTTTTAATTTTCAGTGGTTTTGGTTTGTTTAAGAAAAAATTAAAAACCCAGAGGTGATTAAATACCACCAAAATAAAGCTCTATCTGTCACAAAAAAATGCTAAAAATTTCACATGGGTACAGTTCTTGAGCACGCAATTGTCATTCAAAGTGTGACAGCGCTGAAAGCTGGAAATTGGCCTGGGCAGGAAGGGGGTATAAGTGCCCTGTAGGCTAGTGGTTAAAGTGTATGTAAGCCCAAAATGTATTTTTCAGTTTGCGGTAGTACCCCACAATGTGCAAAAAGGCCGCACCTGTTTCTTTGTGACTGGGTGGGGCCAAGCCTGGATAGCCTCTACTTTGTTCATCTGTGGTTTCACCAGCCCTCTACCTACAATGTACCCCAGGTACTTTGTCTCTTCCATAGCAATGGCACATTTTTCTGGGTTCACAGTAAATCCTTACTTTAGAGAGTCTAAGACCACCTGCACTTGGGGAAGATGGGATTCCCAGTCAGTACTAAAGATGTCGTTTAAATACATTGAAGTGTATTTCTGATGTGGGCGTAAGAAAAGTAGCTGGGACGGAATGGAAGCCGAACAGCATTCTTTTCTACTGGAAATGGCCATCTGGGGTAGAAAAGGCAGTCTTTTCTCTGGCTTCTTTAGTTAATGGTGTTTGTCAGTATCCTTTGGTGAGGTCCAAGGTGGTAATGTATCGGGCTGGTCCCAACCTCTCTGTCAGTTAGTCTTCTCGGGGCGTCGGGTATTCATCAAACTTCGATACCTCATTGAGTTTGCGGAAATCATTGAAAATCCACAGAGCCCCATTAGGCTTTGGTACCAACACAATGTGGCTCGACCACTCACTCTGCGCTTCCTCAATGATATCAAGTTTAAGCATTTTCTGGACTTCCTGTGCCACTGCTTTCTTATTGCCTCGGGAATGCGATAGGGCTTCACTCGAACTTGCACATTAGCTTCTGTGATAATATCATGTTCAATAACCTGGGTGAGACCTGGCAGTCCTGAGAACTTCTCTCTATTTCTCTGTAAGAACACCTTTACCTGCTCTGTTTGTGGCTTTGATAGGGAGTTGGAAACTAGGACTGAGTTTTCCTCTAACGGGGACTTAGAACTAACTTCAGACAGAGCAACTTCCTGCTCACGGTCCTTCCAGAGCTTTAGGAGATTTATATGGTATATCTGATAGGGCTTCTTCTTCCCAGGTTGTTGTATCTTATAGTTAACCTCTCCAACCTTTTCTACCACCTCTAAGGTCCCCTGCCACCTGGCCGGAACTTACTTTCTACTGTAAGTAGGAGCACAGCCACCCGATCCCCAACCTGGAACTGTCTAAGTTTGGCAGACCGGTTGTACACCTTTCTTTGTGCCTCCTGTGCTTTTTGCATGTGCTCCTTTATGAGAGGCATCACCTTAGAGATCCTCTCTCTAATTTGAGTTATATGTTCTACAATTGTCTTATGAGGAGAGGATTCTATTTCCCACATTTCCTTCACTATGTCAAGAAGTCCCCATGGTCTTCGACTGTTCTCCAATTCAAACGGAGAAAATCCTGTGGGCGCCTGAGGCACTTTCCTAATCGCAAACATCAATGCTTGGAGTAGACAGTCCCAGTCTACCATCTTGTTGCACAACCCTTTTAAGCATTGACTTGAGAGTGTTCTTGAACCGCTCTACCAGTCCATCTGTCTGTGGACGATAGACAGATGTGCACAGCTGTTTAATTTGGAACAACTTGCACAGATCTGCCATCACCCGAGACATAAATGGGGTGCCCTGGTCTGTCAAGATCTCCTTCGGGAATCCTGTCTTTGAGAACATTTTAAATAATTACCTGGCAATTGCTTTTGGAGTAGTCTGCCTTAGGGGAACAGCCTCTGGATACCTGGTGGCATAATCGAGTACCACGAGAATGTATTAGTGGCCCCGAACTGATTTCACCAAAGGGCCCACTAAATCCATCGCAATACGCTCAAATGGTACCTCAATAATGGGCAACGGCATTAACGGGTTCCTCAAGTGGGGGGTATTGGCAGGTGGGACATGAACTGCAATAGCGTCTCACCTCTGCTGTCATTCCTGGCCAGTAGAAGCGGTCTGTTATTCGTGTCTCAGTCTTGTCAGCCCCCAGGTGACCCAATAATGCGTCATTGTGAGCTAGGTCAAGTACCGTGCGTCGGAAAGGCTGGGGAACCAGTAACTGGTTGACCACTTCTCCCCTATCTTCAGTAACCCGGTATAGCAGCTCACCAATGACCACAAAGTGGGGAAACCTTTTTTCAGCTTCAAGTACTTGTGACACTCCATGAACTATGGTAACCTGTTCCCAGGCATTTTTCAATGTGGGATCCCTCTTTTGGGCAGAATAAAATGCACCCCATGACACCTCAAGATCAGGACGGGCAAGATTAGAGGAGCTCTCGCCCTCGTCCTCCTCGGACATAATCTTTAGAGGAGAGGCTTCCTCTATGTTCTCCGCAGCCATGACTTGCCTAAGAGTGGGCCCCCCCCCATTAGGGGCCTCTTTAGCTGGTGGACCATCTGCCCCAGATGCAACTCTCCCAGTGTCATCTACAGTCTTGGTCTCCAGTTCCTTAAAGGGAACAAAGCAGTATGACTGTCCCAGTAGTCCTTGGCTCACATTGTCCCAAAGTTCAACAAATAAAGGGAAGTCTCTTCCTATAATAACATCATGGATTCGGTCAGGTACCACCCCAACCTCCTGGACAATTGTGTCACAGGCCGTGGTGATTGTCACTGACACCAGTGGGTATTCCTTGGTGTCCCCATGTATGCATACCACCCTCAGAGTTCTTGCTGCCGGACCCACCTCCCCAGCTACCCTGGTACCTACAAGTGTTACCATACTTCCGGAGTCCAATAGCGCTCTGGCGTATAGCTGGTTCACCCAAAGCTCACATTCAAACCGCCCAATAGTCATGTCTAGGTGGGCAGCACAGACTCTCTGGGCATAAAAGGACATCCTCTGTAAAGCACTACACTCCATGGGCTCCTCCTGCAGGGGACAGTGGGCCTGGATATGGCCCCAGGAGTGACACTGCCAGCACAGCATGTCCTCATTCCTTCGGGCCGGAGTAGAGTTCTGGTACACTGGGGTGGTCACTCCTTGGCTCTCCTGAGGGCTGATTTCCTGGTTTATGGGTGGCTTGGCTCTCCTTACTGGTAAGGGTCCTCGAGGTTTGGCAGGTCCCAATAGATCCTCCACCACAGAGTATCTCTTGACCATTCCACTAGTTCATCTGCTGTCTTGGGGTCCCCATGACTCACTCAGCGCTGAAGGTCATTTGGCAGCGACCTCAGGTACCAGTCTAACATGACCTACTCCACCATCTGGGGACCAGTCAACACCTCGGGCTGCAGCCATTTCTTGACCAGCTGACTCAGGTCATGCATCTGAGCCCTTGGTGGACAGTCCGGGTGGTACCTCAAGTGGTGTACCCTTTAGGCTTGCATAGCAGTTGTCACTCCAAGGCGGGCCAGATTTCTCCCTTCAGCCATTTGTAGTCCTTGGCATCAGCAGATGACAGATCAAAATAGGCCTTCTGGGGATCCCCCGTGAGGAAAGGAGCAACAATACCAGCCCACTGGTCTTGGGGCCACCCCTCTCTTTCTGCTGTTCACTCAAAAGTAGCCATAGATGCCTCCACATCATCACTTGGCGACAACTTTGGAGGTAGTGGCTGGCCCTCACGGCGACCTGGTTGCTAGGAGCAACAACTGTTTGTTCCCGACCCTGTGCGAGACGCAGCACTGCTTCCTGTAAAGCAGCCACCTACGTTTGAGTGGTTTCGTGCTGGAGTGTGAACTGGGCTATCAGCAAGCAAGTAGTTTCTTGTTAGTGGGCCATTGCCTACCCATGGCGATGGTTGGCCTTTGCAGCGGCCTGCTGCTGGACTATTGTGCTCTGAGCCAGGGCTGTTATAACCACCTCCATGTCGCCTTCTGAGGCGCAATAGTCATGTCTAGGTGGGCAGCACAGACTCTCTGGGCATAAAAGGACATCCTCTGTAAAGCACTACACTCCATGGGCTCCTCCTGCAGGGGACAGTGGGCCTGGATATGGCCCCAGGAGTGACACACCGCCAGCACAGCATGTCCTCATTCCTTCGGGCCGGAGTAGAGTTCTGGTACACTGGGGTGGTCACTCCTTGGCTCTCCTGAGGGCTGATTTCCTGGTTTATGGGTGGCTTGGCTCTCCTTACTGGTAAGGGTCCTCGAGGTTTGGCAGGTCCCAATAGATCCTCCACCACAGAGTATCTCTTGACCATTCCACTAGTTCATCTGCTGTCTTGGGGTCCCCATGACTCACTCAGCGCTGAAGGTCATTTGGCAGCGACCTCAGGTACCAGTCTAACATGACCTGCTCCACCATCTGGGGACCAGTCAACACCTCGGGCTGCAGCCATTTCTTGACCAGCTGACTCAGGTCATGCATCTGAGCCCTTGGTGGACAGTCCGGGTGGTACCTCAAGTGGTGTACCCTTTAGGCTTGCATAGCAGTTGTCACTCCAAGGCGGGCCAGATTTCTCCCTTCAGCCATTTGTAGTCCTTGGCATCAGCAGATGACAGATCAAAATAGGCCTTCTGGGGATCCCCCGTGAGGAAAGGAGCAACAATACCAGCCCACTGGTCTTGGGGCCACCCCTCTCTTTCTGCTGTTCACTCAAAAGTAGCCATAGATGCCTCCACATCATCACTTGGCGACAACTTTG